CACGAGCTAAAGAGGATGGGTATTGGCTCGCGATCGACGCCACAAGAGTTGCAAGGTGCCATTCTTAAAATAGCTTTACACGACTATCGATTAATATTAGAATAAAAGTACAGATAATCGGCACATAATTATTAGATTATTAACGTAAATGCAGTCATGTTGATTATTAATAAAGTAACAAAATACAAAAGCGGCGTTATTAACACTGCTTTTTAAAGCAGAATTCTGTTTTAATGAAGATAATTATGGTATTAATTAAATATTAATATTGTAATAATGGAATCGAATATAATTTTATAAAAGATTGGAAATATGATTGGAAACAATTAAAATCTGATTATTCAATCAGAGGAGTTAAAACAGAAAATAATCATTTAAAAGTTATTATTACCATTCGACAATCGAAACGTGGAGGTCACGAAGTAACAGACTCTCCGGCGACAAAGAAAAATTGGCTATTTGAAGAATCGTAAGCCTAATTTCGAGCGTGCTATAATTTGCAAAAAAGTGCGCTATGACGAAATTATAGTGCGGGTGCTATCATCATATCAAGATTGGTTGTATCCCCATGAGAGAGGGGGGGGAAAGGGGAAATTGTGGACGCGCGTAGCGGGAGGATGCTGCTGGGTATCGAGAAGGAGCGAGACATTTTCTCAGCGGCGGCGAAAGGTACTTTAATGCGATCCGTAAATACAATAGAAAGCACTGAGGAACCTAGGATACCGAATGAAGGTCTTAGTATTTCCTTGCATTTGCTAGAACTTTAATACCTGCGCCCTTTCAATATCTTCGCAATCCTTACTAACTTTATCCAGACAAAAATCTCTGATATCTCGCTGGTCAGGTAGAAAGAAGACCATTATTACAAAGATACGATCGTCTATTTGAGTTTTCCAAAATACAAGAATAACATTAAAGGAAATTATCAAAATTTCTGCACAACACAATATATTATGCTATTTTAAAATTATTTACCATTCTGAAAAAGTATTTAGAAAATTTTGAAATGTGCGATCTACAGACTATAATTAATTTAGCATTGACGAGATAATCGAACTTTCTACCCAGTGTACTTTCTCTTATCAGTGTGCTCTGATAAATGGAATAAAATAAAAAGCTATAAATAAATGTTTTGTAAATGTACATGTGATAAGAGCAAAAATACATGGCACGCATAAATATTTTAGCAATCAAGAGTCTCTGAGAGAAAATTATTGAATTCTTTAATATAATATAAATTGAGCATAACATTAAAATGTAATATTTAATATTATTATTTAATATTTATTTTTTATTTTATATTTTTTCGGAATAAGTTTCAAGAAATGATATTAATCTTTAATTAACAAAATAATGTCGTCGTGTTGCTTTCTCACGATCTATAGAATGAAACTTATATTTTCTAACGAGTACATTTTCTCGCATTATTATTATTATCGGGAGAAAGTACATGAGATATTATACATCGCCGGGAATTATTCGGTTGACTCATGCATCAGGTTTCATTTGCTTCTATACAGACAACGCGACGTATAAAAGAGTTATTTGAAAACCGGAGTCGAGATCTTAATTCCGAGCACGAGTTATCTCGGGACGTATATTCTCCCTCTCTGTAAGATCGTGTAGCGCTTATACTTTTACGATACTTAGGCTCTCTCTCTTTTAAAGTCGCCCGTTTCCCCCTTTTTACGACTGTATATATTCGCATTCTCGTTTTACCGGTGACGGACAAACGACGCGACCAACTGTAATCGACGAATTATCGCGACGAGCTCGTTCCTCAATAATGCATCGTCGCTCCCGTCGGTCAGTTCCCATTCGGAGTCACGAATTAACATTCTGGCAATTCTCCGTCAGTGTTGATCGACGTCGCTACTGTTTTTGCCGGGCAAACAAATTGGAATTACCAATTGTATGCGCGAAATGTAAATGCAAAGCGGTCACATTTTTTCGCTGTAGAATTAATTTTCGGAGTACATCTCCGCATTTGGTTCTTTTTCTTTCCTCTTCTTCGTCCTTTTTCAGAGAACCATGCATGTGTTTCAAAACTCTGTAGAAAATTACACGAATGACAAGGTAAACGTGAAGTAACCACACATGTTTTTTTTCTCTTTTTTTTCGAGACGAACGTTGGAGAGAAACAAATTTTGCGTTGATTATTTTCGATAATTGTTCCTTCTTATTTTTCCGAAATAGACGATGTATTTTTTTGTAAAGAGTTAATACTTTGAAAACACTTTATTATTTCGAAGTAAAGTACATGCACATTAAATACTTATGAAATTATGTTTCTCCTGTTTCGCGTAATTAAGTCTTAAAGTATCTTTCTTGTTTATTACATACATTTTTATTATTAGAATACCTAGTTTTCTTTTTTCCATCTTTTTTTTAATAATAGTATGCGCATTTTAAAATACATTGTACAAGTCATTATATAGAGTTGTGTAGATTTCAATATACGGTGTGTTTGCGCAATACAACACAGAACATTGCAAAGTAAATGTACTTCGCTAATAAAGTGTCAAGGATAATCGCACAATTACAAAATACCGGATTTACAGTATCAAGTTTTGATTCTAATCGATCTTAATCACTCTTCGTTATCTGTTATATTGGTTGTACTGAATATTTTAAGCGACAAAATTACGATAGTGTCGACGACGATGTAGCGGATGACAAACGGCTGTCGATATCTCACCCGATATTCGCGAGTCATTCCTGATATTTATGTTAATCGATACGATGAAAAGTGGACTTAAGTTTATATGAAGATTATAGATCACAAAACGTCGTATCATGTTCGTATTAAAGTTGCAGACATCATTCATACATGACATTAATTATTTGTAATGAACACGTGCGCGCAATAATGATCTTCAAGTATATCTAATACAAATACAAATTTTTATTTCTTATTTATTTTTATTTTTTGAGATTTTTTTTTATTTTTTTAAGTTCTAATAATATATAATAATAATATTAAATAAATATATATATATATATATATATATATATATTTAAAAAATATATATTTGGTTTTTAATAATGTTAAATTAGGTAGATATTCATTCAAATATCATTATTTTTCACGAACGAAATGTTTGATATAGCAAATATAGTTAGCAAAGAAATAAAGGTCTTATATGGAACTTTTTTATAATATCGATACTACAATCAAGGATATTGATTAATTGATTATTCCGACAGGATGCGACTATATTACTAAAGTTTCGAGTTTGATTGAGTATTGATGTAGCCTCTTCCCTCCTCTCACAGACTTCAGCTAAAACAATTTCTTCATTTGTAAAAGAGACAGTTTAGTCAATAATTCTTAAGAAAATTGAGATTTGTGAGATGAAGAGCTTTGGAAACTTTTTTAGAAAATATTCATATCTTATTTACGCGTCTCGACGTCTCGATCCTAATACAAATTAGGATTTATCGTTTACTTAATGAACTCGTAAGTCTGCATTAAATTCATCAAAGCGAATAATGTTAAAAAATTGTCTTTGGGTTTTTTTCCTCGAAGCAGACCACATTATCTCGAGGTCTATCATTATTACAGCCGGTCTCATTATTTCCACTTTGCTCTTCGAAACCTTTTTTTCGACATGATAAAATTATGAATGTGCTCGTCGATTTTAAGATACACGATCAAAATTATCTTTGATATTTTACAGCTAGAAAAAAGAACCACGAGTCATCGGCAAAGATCAAAAATACAACGCGCCAAATGTCTTTCAAAAAACGTGCACTCATGCGGGAAGCTTCTTTCATATAGGCAATGCAAAAAAAGAAACCGCTTTTTCGAATGATATTATTTGAACGGTAAAAATTAACGAATTTGAAAGTCGAACGTGTCATTTTTGAATCCGTATCCGAGCAATAATGACGCTCAATGCGAATAAAGGATTTATTTTCATCCTCCCTTTGTGAAAGTTCAAGCAGATCGAGCGGATAGGAAAAAGGAACTATCGAAAATTCTCATAGAAAACGCGGCAGTGAAAGCTTCGCGGCGTAAGTTATTTGTCAAGGTTTCTCACCGTTGAGTAGTTTCTCCGGTCATATTATTATAGCAAATGTGGATTCCCCCTTCCCCTCTGTAAAAAGTACCGTCGAGTAGAATATAACGTGTGTACGTATACAGCGCGATCGACGAGTTGCCACGCGGATAGAAATCGATTTAACAGTAATTGCTGGGAATCGTTATCCGACGCGTTGTGCCGTTATCCTCGGTAATCGAGATACGTTGACACCGCAGAAAGGATCCGTCCGATTGCGCGTCGCTCGCCCCCGAAGCGCTCTTGAATTTCTTATACCTCTTTTCCCGGATCCAGTAATTGTTCGCTTAACCTGCGAGGTAATTTGCAGCCTGAATTTCCACGCTTATGTATACGAGCAACAAAACAGATAATTCTTGCGACACGATTACAAAAAAATTAGTTTCCGATATTTATAAATATTTAATTATATATATATATGAAAAGAATATATTGTATTAATATTTTATGTAAATATCACACGATAATAAATAAATATAAAATAAATTTAAAATAAAAAATAAATAATAAAGAACAGTAAAAATAAATAAAAATAAATAAATAAATGATAAATAAGAAAGATGAGTAATAAAGAAGAGTAAATAATGAAATAATTTTTTGATGAAAATATGATAATTTATAGAACTTTAGACATTTTTTTAATGAATTTTTTATTAAAAGCATAGTGGTTTTTCAATTTTATATTTCAATTTTAATGTGCTATATTGCGAAACTAAGTGTTTGTTTCTTGCGAGTGTACTATCGAAATTTTTATCATCGCGTGATTCGCAGCGAAATCTATCCGACCCAATCGTGCTCGTCGAGATTTAATATTTACCACTATCATTCGTCTGAACGCGACGAATTATTTGTCAACGTGTATCAATTTTAATCCCGTGCTAATCGACACTCTGTGTGACTCCGTTAATAAAATGTATGCCTTTGCTATTTGTGTTTCAGGGAAGTGAACCGGTAGCGAGGAGAACAAGTCGAAGGATCCTCATCCTCGGCGACTCGCGCCGATTTATACGTAAATGTTACGGGAAACCTCAATCAAACCGACTTACGAGTCGCTCTAATCCTGAATCAGAACGAGCTTAAAGACTTATTTAGTAAGTAGGAAAAATGAGCAATCATCCGTAAAAGGATATTTTCAAGATATATATATTCATTATACATAAGGCATGTCAAAGTAAAAAATAAATATTAGTATTAATAAAATTAATTGAAAGATTTGTCTTCGTAAATCCTCGTTGCTTAAATTACATATATTAAAAGTCTAAAATATTTCGAAAGGGACTCGAAATATTTCTTAACTTATAATTATTTCTTAACAGTTATATGAAATTTTTTATATAAAATTTATTCTATTATTTAAATTTTAAATAGAAAATTTAAAAATTAAAATTTTTGTAAATTAAATTTCAAAAATTAAACTTTCATTAAAAAATCTGTGAAACTTAACTTTTATTAACGCACTACCATCCGCGGTGGCTCTTAATCGCTAGTTTCTTATCGTGTTGTTAAAATACATAAAGAGCCTAATTCTTTTCAATTTATTAACTTTAATTATTTATGTTTTATATATTAAACAAATAGAATATTTTTACTATAGAATATCTTGTAGAATACAGGTAGGTAACAATACATATAAGAAAGTGATACGCTTTTAAACTTAAATATTTTATCAGAATGAAGACTGAGGAACGATAGTGCGATAAACATTCATGTACGATCATATAATCCGATTCGTGATGGGACGTCTTCCCTTCCTTTGACGATGATAAACTTCCGGTCAGACCCGATACCGATGTGGCAATGACCTGTCAGAGAACGAACGCGTATTTTGTGACGAAAAAATTTGTTCGTACATATTTATAAAATGTACCAATTTTCTGATTATAATTATTTACATCTCTCATTTATTTTAATATTTTCTTTATCCTCCATAAAGATTTTTAAGAATAATTTTTATGTGAAAAATCTAAGGAAAAAATTGAAAATATCTCGATAATAAGAAGTGAATCACCTTCTGTGACATCGCGCGGTGTTTTTAAGTCCGTAGTCCAAAGACTCTCTCTTTTGAGCCGAGCTCTTCAAATTTCGTACAACGGTGCCCCAGGTATGACTCACCTATTATCGCGTGGCATCCCACTCGACCCCTTTGACGCGGGGACATCTTCGATGTTGTAGACATTGGCGGGGAAACGCCGGAAGCGAAGAGGGCGAGCGACGTGAGTACGGTGAACCCCGGAAGCGAACGCAACGGTGGCCGGCTCGGTCGAGGGGGGAGTTTGCACGGTGGTGCCAGGCCCGCGCATGCTTCAACAACGAGGTTGTTCAGCACCCGCGCTCGCTACGATCACCAGCTCAGCATCATCGTCATCGTCATCGTCATTCACAAATACCACCATGTTCCCGCAACAGTACTGCCTGAGATGGAAGTACCATCACAGCAATCTACAGACCATGTTCTCACAGCTGCTCGAGCGACAGGCCTACTGCGACGTCACGCTCGCCTGCGAGGGCAAGACGCTGCGAGCGCACAAGGTAAATAGAGCGGAGCGTCGCGATGCCATGTCACTGACGATGATGCTTTCCGCAAATACGCGATACGCGTGTCTGCGCTTATTCGACCAGCGGGGATCGAGAGGTCGGATTCTGATGATGCGGATAATAGTCTCGATTTTTAAAATAATTATTGTCTCTCTCTATCTTCAAAAATAATCTTTGTTAACTTTAAGATCGAAGGGATAAATTACTTATTCCAAGATTTAAATTCGCCAAAGTTATCACGTTTTTCGTCTATTAAGATCTATTTTCAAGACATAATGAATGACCGCGCTCGATAGCTCGTTTGTGACATAAACACGAATAGATGATGCATTAATACGGCGTTCAATAATCCGCTGCGCATCAATCCGATATGCATCAATTAAAAATCTATGGCACAGAAGGTTGTATTTGATATGAAAATCAGCGATATAAGAAGTTACCGCGAAAATAGAGAAATTAGTCGCGAATGATTCAGAATACGCGGAAACTCGATTTCCGGAATTTCGCTGTAACGTGAAATTGGATTTATGACTGAAACTCGATAAGTGGAATTTCACAATTCGATTTACGGGAAATATATAATAAAATTGCCATTTTCCTCGATATTTCATCTCGAATCCGGCTCGAAACGAGTCCCTCGCTACATCGGGAGAGTTATCTTGTCAATTTTCAATTAAAATAATCGAGTCGATATATATATATATATATATATATATATATATATATATTTATGTGTGTGTGTGTGTGTGTGTGTGTGTGTGTGTGTGTGTGTGTAAAAGCTGCGCGGAACCATAGCATACTTGCGCACGTATGCGACGAAAACTAACTTCGTCGTAGCTAATCGGAACTTTGTTCTTGTGACTTCGTCCTCTTGTCAAAACTCGGTTAACGTGACGAAACGTCTAACTCAGTTTTCGGCAAGACTGGAGAGACTAAATTACACAACCACACTACGCCAACATCTATTCTGTATTCGAAATCTTCGTTTCTACTAAGTAAGAGCTCTATCTCCGGAACAAGTTTTTCAACCACGGGTACATGTATATAGGATGTTCCGCAAGTTGCCGGTCACGCTTTCCCTGAGAAAAAAAAATAGTATTTCTCGAAATTAGCGAAACCGTTTTCAAAATACTGCGCTCGGTCGGCAGATACATCGTATCGTATACTCCGGATATCAGATTTTCATTTCAAAAGAGCCGCTGCAATTTCGAAAAGTGGCATTTTCCCTCTGCGATTCTATAAAAGCGCTCCTCTACTAATAAATCGTGCCTTTTTTCGATGCGGTCTTTGATGTATTTCAGGTCCCCAATATGATTTCTTTTATCTATTATATTCTTCGGATATCTCGGAGAGATTTAAAAAAAAACCATCATAATTACAAATCTTAATTTTATATCAACGTAATTTGGGAATTGCAATCTATTTTAATTAGTAATTAATGATAAATTGGTAATCGTAATATACCTTAATTTAGGAGTTAATTAATTCATTAATTCATTAATTCATTCATATTTTCGCGTTTCTAAATTTTTAAATTAAAAAGAATTAATTGAACACTACAGATTTGAAATATCTTAAAAATATTTCTGCAACATAATCTCTAGTCTTGATTAATTCAGAGTACATTTTGTAATACATAATAACTGTTTATTGCGTAATTAGATATTCATTATATATTTATCGTTAATGGAACGATTCACGCTTCATTGATCGAGTACATGAATTCGATACGCGTTCTGTTAGAATCAGTTATCCAGGTTACGGTTGGGAAACCTCGATGACTTGTCAGTTAAAGTCACACTTGTTTAACGGTCAACTGCACCGAAACCCAAACAATTCGCCTCGGCGAATTCTTCAGACGCCGTTGATTCTCCTCGTAAACGAATTTGCATCGAAATCACACATTACCTCCCTCGTAATCGTCGTCCCGCCATTGCTAACTATAAATTTGCGATTAGATCGCACGATGATGAGGTCGTCGAAGTTGAACGACGCGTGTTATCTCCGCGTCTAAAACTCGGAAACCGAAGAAAAATCGTAGTAAGGGCATCGCAATCACCATCACAAACCCCCTCCTCCTCCTCCTTTCTCCGCGACCCGATGGAGACGATCCGACTCTTGATAATTGGATTCTATTCCCAGCCAAAAAACCTGGATGATCTGTAGCAGACGACGAATGCAATCCCGTCCGGTTTCCACGGACCCCGGACTCTTGCTCTTTTTTTCGCGTACACGTGTCTCTCGTTCGCTCTTCTCTCGCTTCCCTACCTTTTCGCCCTTTCCGCTCGCTCCGCGCCCTTTTCCTCCCTCTCGGTCTCTTTCGCGTTTTTCTGCGTACCCCCCTGGTTCTTTTCCCATAGCGCGTCGAGTAGAATTTCCTCGATTCGTCTTATTGTACGTCGCGGCGGAAGGAAGAGAAGAAGCGAAATATGTCTGCGGCGAGAAGAACAAGGAGGGACCGGAGGATGGGGAGGGAAGGGAGAAGAGGGAAACGAGAGAGGAGACGGACGGACAAACGGACGAGTCTCGCCGGCGTAGGAACATAAAACTTAACAAACGATCAATTTTCTGTTCTTTGTTTCTTACCGGGGTGGAACTACGGCATTTCGCCACACTCTTTTCTCCCCGGTCCTCCTCTCCCCCTTCCGTCCCCCTGGCGCTCCCGTCGGTCGGCCTCCCCTTTCCTCCTCTTTATTACTCCCTTCCTCTGCCGCTTCCACCCTCTTTCTTCCCTTCGGTCGGTTCCCTCTTTCTCGTTCCCCTTGCCGCCGTCTCCTCCTCTGTTTCGTTTCCTCGCGTCTCCCTCTTTTTCTCTCTCTCGGGCGGCCTGTGCGTCGAAACGAGCCGCGCAGAGGAGAGGCACTCTATCAAAGTAGAGTACGTTCGGCTTGGTTTATTTTTTACTTTGGGAGGGGTCCAAATTGTAAAATCAATACTTCCTCCTAAATTTAGAATGCCGCCGCCGCCTCCGCCGCCGCCTCCGCCACCGCCACCGCCGCCGGCACAACGCGCGCGGGCTTTTTCGCTTCTTTCCCCCGCGCCCGCATCGCGGCGACTCGCTTAACTCGTGTCTCGTCCCCTTTTCCCGCCGCCGGCGAAAGCCGGCCGGCCGGCTCTTGCCGCGCTTCCGGCGATACCACCGGGGTAGGGTCGCGGTAAAGGAAGTCGTCGCGACCGAACAGAGTATCGATATTTAGCACCAGCGATGTGTAATTGGACGTACGAGAGTTCTTCTTTTGTCGGACGCCTTTTTTTTTTCTCTATGGCCATCTAGACTATATATTTTAGATTCTAGCGCCTGTACATCCGTAGCCGGGTAATGCGAGTAAAATATCTTGCGCACCTCCGCCTGAAATTGGTGGAAAGAAATAAGAAAAAAAGAGAGAAAGAACGAGAATCGCGCCTTTATACTTCGTACCTTTGAATATGCGAAAACTGCGAAAATATGCAGATTACAGACAGAGTTACTTTGAAAGTTACAAATTGCATTATTCTCGACATGACGAATATTTGGGTGAGATGAGAGTATATTTAATATCCTTTTTTTATTTCTCTCATCTCTCTCCTTATAAAATAAAATATATGCGAAAAGTAAAAAAAAAAAACGAATCAACTCCACGTGTTGCGAGTACTCGAGATTAAGGTATCGAGGCTGAAATGTCGCGTAGCTACCTTGCGAGATACCAGACGACGACAGCGAAACGAAAACGAAAGGGATTCGAGGCGACAGAAGTTCGCGTCGAAGGGAAAGGGAAACGGACGCGAGGGGGGAAGAGCTTTGTGGACAGCTGTTTCCTCGTCTAGCACCACCTGCACCCAGTTTGCCTGCGCGCGCGGGACACACACCACGAAGGAGATAGCGCGCTCTCGGAGGCAAAGCTCGACCCTCGATGACGCGACTTTTTTGAGGTCTTTGCTCTCTATCTTATACTGACGTTATGAACTAGTTAGGCCGATAACCTCGTTTAACTTTGGACAGCGATTACTTCACTCTTTCGAAGTAAACAGCCCTACTTTACGCACTGTGTTATTGAAGAAAGAAAATTCTGTCAAAAACAGTTTTACTAAAAATTCACGGAAACCTGTGTATTACATCGACAGTTTCAATTAACTAATTGGTTCTTTCTGCTTTTCTCCTTCGATTTCAGAAAATATGATCATTGAGAAAAAGGAAGAGGAAATTCACAAAATTTCTCTATCCAGCTGATAATACTGTTATATCATTGCTTATTATTAATCTCGTTTAATTCTTTCTGTATTCATTTTATACTTTAAGCTATTGCTAATCTTGTATAATTGTCTCTTGCTACTCATTCAACTCGAGCTATATAACAAGGAAAAGATTTATTACATTCATTGCCAATGTATCGACCGGTTTTTACTTGTTGACAAGTACACGATGACAGAATAGACTTATATAGCTACAGCTCGTCCGAGGAAAAAGATTCGCTAGGTTGCAAAGGTTGTAAAGGATCGATCTGCGATAACCATAGCCACCGATCGTATAGACAGTAGCCTTATTTCGAGCGACGTGAGAAAAAAAAGATTCGCGATATGGAACTTTTGTAATATCGAACTTTGGATCCGGAAGTTTCGAAAGTAGAAGATTCGTCCATCGCGACTCCTTTCGATACGTAGCGTAGAATTCGCGGCAAAAACTCCCATGTATCTCTCGAAATAGGAGAAATATACTTTATATGGCGATGGTTATCGCGCTGCGCAGCCTGTATTCCCATCGGACCGAGCTCCCGGAAAATTTCTATCCCGCGCGATTGCCCGGCAAGAGCGAAAAAGAAAGAGAGCGAATGGAACTTTTGAGATGCCTCTTAAACGACGCTCCGAATGTGAAAAGGAGGAAACGCGAGCGCGCGCGTGGCTGGAACAAGAAAATCTTATATTCGTTCGCGATGACTCTCTCGCGTGTCTTCTCTCGATTCATTCGCGCTGATATCGCGGACTGCAAGTACCTATCTTGCACTGATGTGCGCGAAGCA